TAGGGAAAAAAGGTATTCTCACAGCTGAAAACGAAATTAATTGCCTTAATGACACGGCGTGAGCAGCTATTCTCTTTAAGGGAGAAAAACTGCTGCGCAGCTTCCTGTAACCCGGGTAACAGCAGAGGTCCTGCGGGGTTTGCTGTGTTGCGGCTTTTGAGAAAATGACAGAAATTACCATCTTCACCCCTCTCAGAATGAAACAAACTTCATACCTGGCTAAGGGACCCATAACTGCCGATGCCCTTTCCTGGCCGTACGAGCTGGTTCGGTGTGAGAATGAAAACTGAAGATTGCGCTAAGCTGTGTTGCCTACCAGAGCAATGTTCCTCATCTTTTGATGCAAGCTTTAATACCTGCAGCGTTAGGTGCTGCTCCTGCAATACACAGTTATTTCCACTGGATCCACGGGGATCGTTTCCAGGCCTGGAGCTACGGAGCGTTCAGGCTCGAGTGCTGGTTTATTACCAGAAAAGAACGTTCCTGTGCTTGGGTTTTGCTTTCTACTTTATCATTGCTGATGATAAAGTAATGCTGCAGGCTGGTCAAAGGTTTTAACTGCTTTGACGATTTTTCCTAAACAGCCTTGTTTGATTTAAAAACGTGTTTTACCTGTATGGAATAGGAAGTATTATATTGGCTGTAGAGATTTTTTACGGGGACATCAGACCCGTTCACGGTGCAGTCACTGTAGGGATAGCCCATCCGTTCCAGTTCATCCTGAAAGAAAACCGAAACAGCAAACTTCAGTAGTCAATCGCTCCTCCCCAGGCTCCTGGTGCCTGTTTTCTAGAGACTCTGTAATTCCTGTATTCCCTGCTGGCTTTGAAAAAAAAATCAAAGAATCGTCGGTGGCAGAGCTGAAGGAACTGCAGCCCATTCCCCAGGGCGGCCGGAGGCAGGTGAGGGTGTGCAAGAGCAGCACGTTTTAGCAAGGCACCTTCTGACAGGCTGGAGGAAGAGGGAACAATGACCTGAGCTCAATATTTTGGCTTCAATAAAGCACTTTGCCAGGACAGTTACATAAAAGTCTCCATAAACTGTTCCAGCCCACAGCTAGCGTATACCTTGACTCTTTTGGTTTGAGCCAGTTCGGCCAAGACTTAAAACAAACTTGGTTGCAGTCCCATCAGATAACATTATTCTCAGACAATCTGCTCTAGAGGAATGCCACACATACCACTAACACGCCGATGGAGGTTTCTGTCCCGGCCATTGCGTAGATGCCCTGATCCTTAAGGAAGGGGAAGCTCTTCTGTTGGTGCAGCATGAGCCTGGCCCCGGCGGCGGACGACAGGTAGGGGATGTAGTCTTGCTGGCTGATGTCCAGAATTAACTTCAGCCCTGGGACACCGGACAAAACACTCAGAACAGGAATTGTATCAAAATGTGAGCCTTTGGGAAAAGCAAGGAGTCTATTTTCTTTTCGCTGCGCACAAAGCTCTCTGTCCTTGGGGGAAGAGCCGGGGTCTGGCTGTCAGAGACTTGCATGTGCATAAATACGCACGATGGCGAATGCATAGGATAGAAATATCTGAGTGAATATTCAGACACTGCCTCAGATATTTTGGCTGCCCAGATGTTACACTTCTGCGAAGTAACATCTGTAGTCACCTTACTTGTTTCTAAGTGGCACATTTCCCTTTTTGGGGGCTTATTCCCTCCTGGAAAACAGTTACTCCCTGCCGTCGTGCTCCAGAGACACAGAAATGGTGAATCTGTTATATCTGACAGAAGGGGCCACGGAGAGACAGAATAACTCCCAGCACTTCTGCTCCTTTAGCTCCGTCTTTCTTAGCAAAGCTCGCTCTTACCAAACTCGGCTCCGGGGTTGGAAGAATTCAAAGCCTCTTCGTCCATGCCCCAGTTAAAGATGTAGCAGTTACCGTGGTCTGGGTGATAGATTTGGGTGAAATTCCTGGAAGAATCATGCACATAAAGCGGTGACTCTTGGGGAGGACTAAAGGGTTATAAAACAACGCGTCTGGTGGGACCAGTGCTTGGTGGTTAGGTCTGGGATTCACTTTAAACCGCTTCATTTGCTGAATGCCTGTATAGAAATTTCAGCTGATATAATTTCAATCTGCTGTTGAAAAGAAAGCAAAGCAAGGCGCTGGTGTGTACTGAGACACAGCCACTGGGGATAACGCTTTGTCGGAATGTAAAGAGTCATCTCACACAGATGAGAGCAATAATTGCTTGGTCTGAGCTATGGTAACAGGTTTTGGCTGGTGTTCTGTCTCGTTCTTTGACAATAATTCTCTGTTGCCCTCTTTGCAGAAGGGGCGTTGCAGAAGGAGCAGGACTCCTTGCAGCCTGGGGTGCTGCTGTGCACTCACGTTTCTCAAAACTAGATAAATAAATTTGGTGTTCACAAGCAACAATGATGGCTAAAATGCATTTCTCAGAGCCTTGTGTAGAAAGGGCAGGGGCTGTATCTGGGGGCTGCACTGCTGTGCTGGGGTACGCTGACTCAGCACCTGGGCTGGCAGCTGGTTATCACTAAATACCCTGGGAACGGGGAATGTCCCATTGATGCTGTTAGTCTCGGTATGTCATGAGCAAAACGGCCCACCCAAAACTGAAACTCACGCCAGCACTATCCCAAAATAACCCGTTTCATCCACGATCATGTCCAGAAACCCTCTGGCAAATGTTGTTAGAGTTAAGGACCAGCAGAAATCTCTTTATGAACTGATACGTACCTTAAAAAGAGAAAAGAAAAAGGCTGTCATGCCTTTAGCGCCCTGTACCGTTCCTGACGTGACAGAAAAGGGTAGGGAGCTCGGTATGCACCTACTTGTAGTTGCAGGGTTCGGCCCCATAGAGACATGCCAGGATCATGTCTTCTGCCTGGTAGCCCATCCTGATTCTCTCTTGCAGCGGGACTTTGGAGAGGATGCTCGTGGACTGCAGGATGTACCACTCGGTCACCGCCTGCGCCGCGCTGGTGAAGTTCCTGTAGGTGCAGTTGTTGGAGCCCTGATGGCTGCACTGGGGACACACAGCAGGCAGGTCTGAGCCCGTCCCGCGGCGGGGGACGGCAGGAGGGATGCACGGCGCGCACCCCCTCTCCCTGCACGCTCGGCTTGATGCCAGCCCTGCCTGCTGCTCCCGGGGGAATGGAGGAGGTACGGCCAGACGGGAGCTGCGGAGCCGGCTGTCACATCTGCATGCGCTTGCAGATGGGTCCCTCCCCAGGGAGATTTCCCAGCTGGGCAGATTCTCCATGGGTCCCAGCGTTACCTCCACCAGCTTACAGAAAACGTCACTTTTTGGCCAATTCTTTAAGGCTGGAGTTGCCCCAGCTTGCAAGGTCTGGCCAGGCAGGGTCCTTGAAGCCTCCGTGGGAACAGAGGGCAGGGGGTTGCGAGACCACCATGTGCCTCGGCACTGAGGACCGCAGCTGGAGA